TATATATATATATATATATATAAACTACAACAGAATACAATTTACATATAATTATAATACTACTTTACTACAATTCGGTAAGTATGTTGTATGTCATGTGTTCTTCTTCTTCTTTGAGTTTCAATCTGAAATTCAACCAAAATCAAGTCTAATCTTCACCAAACACCCTCATAATTGAGATATAAACTCTAAACAATATTCCCAATTGTTTGCAACAATACCCAATCCAAACAAATAATGGTTTTTGAAAACTAAATTCAAATTCAAAGCTTCAAAGCTTTTTAATGACTGTCAATGTTGGAGAGTCAAACACCTTCAAAATTTATTGATTACAGTTTCAATTTGAACACCAATTGTGCAACACAAAAGGAAATTCCTAAGTTAAAACTCTATAGTAAAAGGATTGAAATCCATTGATGAATTCCATTAAAAATATATACAACACGAAAGGATAAAAAGTAGAAAATATCAGAGAATGAAAAATTGGGGAAAGAACAGAGAATGAGAGACGGAGAGAGAGAGAGAGAGAGAGCATGAGAGAGAGACGGAGAGAGAACAAGGATGAGAAATAACTGATTCATTATTCAATTCATAATATAAAAGGATACTCATTTAAAACTAATTTGTATATAATTGATAAATTGTATATGGCCATGTAATAAAGTTAAAACTTGATTAGGGAGAGAAATCAAGTTTCATATGTAGTATAGGAAGGTAAAAATTCCTTTCTCTGGATGCGCACGATGAGTCCATAAAGATCTGTTATTTAGCAGATAGGAGTATAAAATTTAGATGTACAGATAGTTGATAATCAGATGTTCTGAAATACGCAATTAATTTGCAACACGAATTACCTGTATTGCATGAATAATTTATTACGTCAGATCCAATAAATTCAAAGTATCGATTAGATAGGACATTCTATATCATGAAATATAATTGTGTGTCCGTGTGAAAATAAGCACCTGCACTTGGCAACATACAGTCCACTCCATTTCACTCTCGTGCTTTCCCTTGCCCGATCCTGCAAATTGTAAAATTCTCCCAAAGTTGGACCAAACCTACCGAAAAAGGTTATTTACCTTATTTTTATAACACTTACGTACTATATATAGTTACTTGAAATTCAATGCCTATATTAGGCATCGGCAAAATCAGATACAAGTAGATGGGACAAATACTTGTGCATCCAAAACAATATTTAACTCAGTGAGACATCAGATTGAAGCTACAGAAAGCAAATATCTTCCTTTGATTGTTCAATCAACAGTACCTGGAATATTCTAATACATTGTTTGCTTGCTGTACAAGAACCCCCCTCGGAAAGGGGAAAGGCAAAAAGAAAAAGGACTCTACCTGCTTCAGTTCCAGGCTTGCTCTTTTCTATCTTCTATGGGACAGCATAAATATACAAGTTTGGTACCATTAATGCCTTGATGAAGGATCAGCTGTACATTGAATAACTGGAAGCCAACCTCCAAAAGCAAATGAATCATTAGTTCTGTGGCTCATGTTAAGTCTAATCAGGCATACATCTTTGGACAAGACCCCATATGCCGAGAAATGATATTGGTGATAGAGGGTCAACATATTCTTATTGGGAAGTGCTTCATTATTGGAACACTAGACTCAAAGAGCATGTGGAGGAAATCAGGTTGATCAATCTGACAATAGATAATGAAGTTCTGCCAAGATGCCACTGCATTTCCTAGTTTCTCCTCTTAGGAAATCCTTATTGTGCAAAACAGCTTCCTTCAAACGTGCCAAGATATAGCAGATTTACACAGAAAACCCAGTAACACTGAAACTTTGAAGTTCTCCATTAATATGTCCGAAAATACATATCATGTTCCACCCGTGCGACTTGACAAGGGAGAGCAAGGATTGAGATCTACAGAATAAATCAATTTCACATGATCCCTCAAAAGTTGCTGGGACACCCGATTGGCCAAGGCTGATTGCGCATTGCAAAGTTCTCCAGTGGCAGGCCTCCCAAACTGCTTTCCCGGAGCATCATCCTCGAAGGATGCCAATTCTTGGAAAGCACGAGATCCTAATGGCGTCGCTCGTAAAGCATCAGGATCCCAGTAAGAAGGACCGTTCATATAGGGACTACTTGGAACTGTTCTGGCCTCTTGCATGTAAACTGACTGATTCATGTGACGAAATGGGATAGCACCATTACCTCCAGAGATTGGTGTTGATGAGCCAGATGTGTTGAGAGGGCTTGATATAGGCGAGGGAGACATCCTCCCGTTTAGGTTTTGAGGTGACCTTGGATGTAAAAGAGGGCTACCAATTGGGGAGACAGGGCAAGATATGTTTTTCGGAATGTGGATGTCCCTGGACAATAAAGAACAAGTCAGTGATCAAAATGTATGAATACTATTGTCATGAAGCTTTTTACTCGAAGCATATCGAGATGAGAAAATTACAAATTCAACGGGAACCCTTTTCCGCTTAAGAAATTTCTCAACAATGTAGAGGGCATTTGAAAGGTTAAGTAATCAAGAGAAGCAAAGACCTGCAGTGAAAATTAGATTTTGATGCTCTAGATGAGTGGATCACAAGCTTTTCTGATTCCAACGTAGGATAATTTCTTGCAGATCCAATGCCCTAGAACAAATTCGCAAAGAACACAGCAGTGAGCATCAATCAAAGGGCACAGAATTCCAAAATAAAGAAACCACGCCAGATCAACCTATTATGTTCTGGTCATCAATATGTTAAAGATTAGTTCTGTAAATTGAAAAGTTCGCTTGGAATTAAAATTTGCACACATTCACACATCGAGCATTTGTTGTACGTCTTTAACAGGGTTTGAGACTTTTATTTCTAAAACTATCTGGGACAAAAAATTATCACCTGACTTCTGAGAATAAGCCAAAATGAACTGAACGTCGTAATTTGCCACAGAGCAGCATGCAGGAGTAAACAATCCTAAGCATTTTTTATCAGTAAGATAGAAATTATATTCACAAAAGATGGCGCTGTAAGCTGTATGAGCAAACAATCCTAAACCTTAACAATACCAATGTTCAAGTTACATCATCTACCTTTCCAGAAGAAGCAATCTTATTTTAAGAATCTACGTAACTTCCATGCAACTGTCCAAATTACTCTATATCTTCCATGCAACTGTCTCAATTACTCTTACTGTAATATGCTCAAGTACCTTCTTGGTACCTTGTTATTAATAAAATAAAATTACCTTATCTAAAAATAAAAACAAAAACTCTTACTGTATGACTATACGATAGACTACTAGATGAATTCCATACACTGATATGCATATGAATCGGAATCCAGGATGGACTAATGAGAATATGTTGGCAGAACTCAATGATGAAAGCTTGACTATTGAAAATACGAAACCAATCAGTTTATTTTGCTCAATTGTTTATGGGTTAAGAACAAAAGAAGAAATACATAAAAGCATTTTACAAAAGTATAATGAGGAGCAAGAATTCCTGTTTCGCAACAGAAGTCTCCCAAATGTCCTAACAGAAGCAAAAAGATCTAAATAAACAGATAATGTACCAGAGGTTTTACCCCATTTGCAGCTGCACAAGGAGGATTGAAAGATGCAGGAAATATATTTGGCTTTTCCAGAGGGGCAGCATCTTTAACAAAAGGATGCTCCAATAGCTCAGCAGCAGTAGGACGACTTCGTGGCTCACGCTGTAAACACTTCCTCACAAAATCTTTTCCCTCGTCTGAAAGGTGTTCCGGGATTGCTGGGAGTTCTTTACTGTTCCCAATCTTAAACATGGCAGCAACCTTTGGCCCATACGACATCAAACACCACATAATACAGGTCAAGGGAATGAACTGCTATTGTAAAACATGCTAGTCCAAATTATATGAAAGCAAAAAGTCCCATCTTCCAACAATGTTCAGAAAAAAGAAAAAAGTCAAAAGATGCTCTAATTAAGCTTCTAAGCCAAAATTACTTACTCCTTCATACAGGTCAAGGGAATGAACTGCTATTGTAAAACATGCTAGTCCAAATTATATGAAAGCAAAAAGTCCCATCTTCCAACAATGTTCAGAAAAAAGAAAAAAGTCAAAAGATGCTCTAATTAAGCTTCTAAGCCAAAATTACTTACTCCTTCATACAGGTCAAGGGAATGAACTGCTATTGTAAAACATGCTAGTCCAAATTATATGAAAGCAAAAAGTCCCATCTTCCAACAATGTTCAGAAAAAAGAAAAAAGTCAAAAGATGCTCTAATTAAGCTTCTAAGCCAAAATTACTTACTCCTTCATACAGGTCAAGGGAATGAACTGCTATTGTAAAACATGCTAGTCCAAATTATATGAAAGCAAAAAGTCCCATCTTCCAACAATGTTCAGAAAAAAGAAAAAAGTCAAAAGATGCTCTAATTAAGCTTCTAAGCCAAAATTACTTACTCCTTCATACTGGCTCCAAGGAGGCTTTGATGTAGCCATTTCTAAGACAGTGCATCCAAGACTCCATATATCAACAGCAAGGTTGCAGCCACTGGAGTTCTTTATTACCTGAGCCAATGGTAAAGAGATGGTTTCACAAGTCAGTGTATAAGTATTAGCAATGGAGGTGCACACAAAACATTTAAATGCCTAAAGCATATTCCAACCTCAGGGGCCATCCAGTAAGGACTTCCTTTGAATGATAATGGACAGGATTGCCCTGTGATCTGCAAATTTGTAATTGAGCAATTAATGACACAGCTCCAGTTCCCCAAAAAAAAAAATCCAGTTCAGAAATGGTACAGAGCTCCATCTGAAAATGCAGCCTTGATGTTGAAGATATAAAATTCCAGGTGGGGAACAATTGCACCAAATGCAAATCTTAACAGATTAAATCCTACTTTTGTCTTTCAAAAAATAAGGAATTAAGTTTTGATGCCATGAAGCTAAAAACTAGAACAGTTTTTCTATCCATCCGACAGTGCTAGTCTCAAGTTAGAAGATAAAATGTCACCGGCTATTTCCGCTTAATCACAATCTTCAATAGCATTGGCATCATCTTACTAGATAACGCAGTTAGAAGCCTATGATTAAAACTTACATGCTTCGCCATTCCAAAGTCCGCCAACTTTATGCGCCCATTTGGATCAACAAGAATATTTGCCCCTTTAATATCTCTGCAAAAGTGAAGCTGCTATTAGGTAATCAGCATACACAGGTCAAGGCTGCTGAAAGGGTGATCTCACAAAATAATCCAACCGAAGAAATTGGGTTACCTATGCACAGTGCTTTTAGCATGTAAATATGCAAGCCCCGATAGAATTTGCTGAGTGTAACTACGGATTGCTGTTTCTCCAAATGGACCATATTCTTGTAAAAGCTTATAAATGGACCCACCAGAGACATATTCCAAGTAGATATAAAGTTTATCAGGAACCTGATTGCGGAAAACAATTCAGACGAAGATCAAGCTAAAAAGATTATTGGAATTTATGACAGAAACACATATAAATCTTGCAAGAAAGGCCCACTAGTTCTGCCAAAGTACTCATTAATCTCATGACTAAGCTTTGAAGTAAGCTGTTACAGATATAGAATAAGAAACCAATACTCTAGAACAATTTGAAGTCTGTTAACATAACTAACAGTGCTGGCACAATGACATGTCCTTCACCAGAAAATTCAAATATAAAGCTAATAGTGCTGGCACTATGACATGTCCCTCATCAGAAATTAAAATAAAAAGCTCTAAATTGAGAGATTTAGAAAATCAATTGACCATTGAAAACTGACCATCTCTGACCCATAATACTGAACAATATTTGGATGTCTTAATCGGCTCAACAACGCAACCTCCTGCAAAATACTTGAATATGAGAGGATGATTAAACAGGAACAGATCAGGAATACAAATCTCCAGGCAGTCCAAGGAAATAAGACCTAGCAGGCTGCTACCTACATAATAAACCTACCTGTGCCAACTGCTTTGCACTTTCCTTTGACTTTGAGTCATCCGAAAATAGGGTCACCTCCTTCATTGCACACATTTCTCCACTATCACTGCAAACAGACACATGGCTAATCATTAATTTTTTTTTTCTTTTTTGGAATTAGATGGCCAAGCATTAAACTAAGGCATCAGCAATCAATCTTAAAGAATTTGACATGTCAATGACAAAGTGATATGTAAAGATTGGATTCCTTGTTCACTTGAAAAGGCCACATGCATTGGAATTGGAAATAAAAGAAATTCAAATGCAGATTGTATGGATATACCTATTAAAACCAACATAAACGTGTCCAAATGTGCCTCTACCAAGCAACTTCCCCTTTTTCCAGCGAGATCCAGGGCTAGAAAGATTATCTGCTCTGCCAGGGCTTCGTGGCACTGAGGGAGATGTTGCAACTGAATTGGAATGAGAAAAGGGTGAAGTGTTGGAAATTGTTATAGGAGGACGGGGCAAAGGATGACTTTCTGATTTTGCATCATCAGGCCAACTAGTCTGCAGTTCAGATGCTCCACCTCCAGCCCTAGGATGAATTGGTGTGACAGCGCCACTGTGAATTCTCGAGCTAGGTCCAGGACTTGTCATCCTGGGACTAGGAATTGGAGAGTATTCTGGGCTCCCTCTACTAGGCTGCCAAAACAGTTGCGCTGCCATATCTCCTCCCATGGAATTATGTCCAGAATTCTGACCAGACCCTGGGCTTGAACAATGGCCAGATCCAAGTAAAGGAAGATCCGGATAAGTCTTTCCTGCCCACAAAGTAGAACTAGTAATTTGCTCGCAGCCAGCAGCTCTCATTGGACTTCTAGAAGGACTTGAAATGGAACTAACAGGAGCACTGAAGAGGCCACCACGAGAAGGGATCTGTATACTGGGCAAGTGGCTATTTAGTGGTCGTCTCTTAGGAGATCGAGAGGAGACACGTCTACTGGGAGAAAGATTAACTGGTTCAGTTGCGTCTTTTGTGCTTATTTGTCCAACAGCAGACTGATCCTTAACAGGCAAACTTTGAAACCAAAAAAGAAAAAGAAACTATGTCAACATGGGTGCTGTAGTTAAAGAAAATAGCAAACTAAGAAGTTAAAGCAATAGTTGTTTCAAATAGGGAACAAAATTAAATAAAACTCATTAGTGAATATATTTCATTTAAGTGACATTCAGCATTTGTTTACCTGTAAGGGCTACCCAAGGCAGCCCGGTTGCCAGTTTCAAAATCAGATGCTAGTGGACTACGCTGACGTGAATCACTCGGATCATCACTTTCAATAGAGCACTCACTTGAAACTGATGCAAAAACAAGCTCTCCATCGGCATCTGCAGGGTCAAGTCTGTGCCTGATGCATGCAGGCTTTGAGAGAGGCAGAAACAGGGATGGCTTTGAGCCCTTCTCTGTTCTGGGTCTTGCTGATTGACTGAGTCCAGAGTCTGTTCGGACTACGCTTGCTGGTGGCAGACCTGGAAGTGGAAGTGGCTGGGCTAGAGCACTTTCAGCAAAGCTTTGACATCTCAAGGCATGCTTGGAAGGTGATGACGACCTTGACTGTGCTTGGGACTGAGAACCCTTCTCAAAAGCAATGTCACTGCTATGTCTTCGAGATCCTCCTGATTTACTTGGAGACTTAGCTTCACTTGAACTTTTAAACTTGCGATGCAATGTATCAATAAAACTTTCTTTGGTCACTTTCTTCTTTGCTTCCTTTGAAGATGACTTTCCCCACCATGAAGGCATATTTCCCGGTGCTAAAAGATTTACGAAACCAATAAACAACCCATTAAAACAGATTCTTCCGACAAGACAGACTTGCTATATGACAACACATACGCGATGCAGAAAAGAGACTAATACGACCTCGGTGAGAACTTGAGAGATAGTTTAAACGATCTGTCGCTATATGTATGTTATCATCTCTCATATTTGTCAATTAAAGATGCTGAAGATCAATATTTCATCAACAATATCCCGAAACAGACTCATAAAGAGGTTCAGAAACCGAAGGAGCAGTTATAAATGATAGAATCAATCAATTAAAGCAGTCACCTTTGTAATACAACCATGAAAAGCCAATTAAGCGACTTCATTGACATAAGATAACATGGAGAATCAAGTAGTGCCAAGTCGTTAAGATTCTAGATTAGCATAGCTAAAACGAGACGACTATGGCTTGTCTCACCTCCCTATTGTTTGGGCTAGATGATTGTCTCGTCGCAATTTAATGTCCAAAGGATTTCGAATTGTAACACTATAACTGTGCACCTTATCTGTGCTTTTATTTTTCCCAGGTAACTTTGCACCGTTATTCTGTCATGGTGTCACCAAGACTATCCCAACAATCTTTTTTCCATTTATGAAAGTACCTTCCCGAAAATCTCTGAGACGCACAAATACGCAATTTACTTAAAATAGAGCCAGTTTCGTATAATAATTTCCTTCCACCACCAATCTCGCAAATGAGGAACAAAAAATTTACTTTTTTTCCCTGCAGAAACCCAAAAGGTACTCGTACATCTTCGGAGGAAAAAATTCAAAAATGAGACCCTTCGATCTACTTCTACTCCATTTTCTGTTTTTTTCCACTTTAAAGATCTACCTCGCTAGATCTTTTTCCTAATAACGATGGTGCCTCAACCAACATGCACGCACCTGGACTATTCCACTCGGTACCTGCTAACCTCCAGCTACACATGTACCTGGTGACTCCGTCCACCAAGGATTAGGTAGATGGGAAGAAATCACATAGTGCTTTTTGTGTCACCTGGGTTCGAACACCGATTCCGAGGTTTGCACCTACTTCATTGACCATTAGGCCACACCATTGAGTGCCTACGGTCGCCAGACTTAAGAACTTTCAACTCACCAANGGGGTCATGTCTTCTCGATGTACTGGGTAGAGTACTCTTTCCTGTTTTTTTGCTTCCTTTTCTTTGTGTCTTCGGAAATGCCACCAAAAGATTTAACTTTTTCATTTTTTATAACAACAATGTCCTACCAACTTAAGCACACCTCGACTAATCCATCAGGCATCAAGTATCAATTACCTCCCACCCACACTACTTAGACAAATGGGAGAATTCACCTAGTGCAATCTCTACTGAAATAGGAATCTTTATTGTCAAGGTTATCATTCTAACTCTTCCACCACTATAGGCTCCCACACCGGGGTTTAATATTCTGACTCTCCTTTCCCATCTTTTCACTTTCTCCATTTCCTTTACATGCAACAAAAGTAAAGTGATCCTCTACTAATCTCTAATTAATTAGTTTCATACTTTAATATTGCATACTAAATCCTAAAAACACAGCATTTCCGCGCAGATCTAGAACACTACAAAACACAGCAGGTAACTGAACTACAGAATAAAATATTAAAAAATCAGAAATTGCACCAAAACTGAAGCAATAACAGCAACACT